AACGGTCTTATGCACTTTTTCCAAATGTTCTGTCATGAAATTACCGGATAATAAATAATAATAAATAATAATAGATTGGATAATAGATGCACTCAGAAGTCTCTGAATCCCTCGAAATAAAAAAATCATTGATTAACCCTGAAATTTCGACCTTAACCTTCAACCCATTTCACCGGAGGTCATGAGTGCTAGTGAGGTCTTAGCTTCAACTATTTTGAGATGCATTTTACGATGCAAACCAGACATTTATAGCAGCATCATCCAGTGATCTCCCAGAAGTTGCCCCCATCCAGGAGTAGCTGTTGCTCAAACAAAACCATGAAAAAGCATCAAGCCCTCGAACAGCTAAAATTGTCGGTTAAATTCAACTGACAATTGCCAATTAATTTTCAACGACTAGAGGATCGGCTCTCCTTAGAACTCTTGGAGATGGCGATAAAAATGGAAGAATGAAAACTATTTATTTATTCTGATCGACAAATAAATAATTACCAAAAGGGGGAAACCAGCTGAGAGGCTGGAATTTTTGGGGGATGAATCCGGGGAATGTCCGACTGTACGAAAGAATGGCTCTTATCACACTGTATAAATATTTACGCCTGAGAATACCGGAGACATGGTAAATCTCCAGATCTGTATTTGCGTTAAAAAGCAGAGGGCTGTGCTCCATATTTATGATCGTATAGTGCGTGTGCCCTTGTTTACCAAAAAATATTTATTTACACGAGACATCTAAGCCCCCCCTATTAAATCCCCATGACATGAAGAATAATGAAAAGATACATCCAAAAATTCCGTAAATTATTCTCCCGAATGACTAATCATCGCAATAATGATAATTAAAAAATGATATTCAACGCTCCGATAAGGATATTCAATAAGATTCCAGGAAATGACGAATGAGTGACACATTTGAAATGTAATCATATGCAAGACCTCATTAAAGCACTCGTAAGTGATTCCATCCGGTTCTGAATCAATAAAAAATTCGCTATTTTTTTCTCCGGGGAATTGCGAAAAATTCACTTTCATTCAATTTTTTCTTCTAATTGAGGAATTTCGTTGGATGCAAGTACTACTTGATGACATTACTCACGGTAATTACCGCAATTAACTACGATTAATTAGACGCGGGGTTTGCCCTCGAGCCAAGGACAAGAGCCAGAGGGAATAGGAGTTGCACGCAGATCGTAAGACTCTTGTTCTGCTCTCGTGTGAAGATAATTAATTACCCATTCCGCGTAGTGTCATCGGACGTGATAAGACCACACATCAGATGCTGCCATCAAAACGGAGGGATAAAGATATTTTCCCACAAAAATCCCGTGAAACGTTAATAAAAACAACGTTAATAAATAAATAAACGAGAATTGAGTTAAATACGGTAATTCACAAAAATTGATGATAATCCATAATGATAATGATAATGGATGAAAATAGATGATCTGTTAACGTCCCCTCGAAATTTATTCCAAGAGAGCAAATATAATCAATAATGACAGGAACAATGAGGGTTTTGTTCACCCCCATTTTTTTTTTGCCCTAGGGTGAGGAATGCGGGGGAGCACTAGGGCACGGATGGCGAACAGCTGCGCCGGACAGCAATGGCCGACTACTGTGCCCCCATAACCCCCTATTGAATACCTAGCAATACACTCATGTGCCCCCTCAATTTTTTCTCCTTTTTTTTAACCCCCCGAATGAAACTCAAAGCCTAACTACATCTCGTGTAATCCGTCACTATCACTCGGAAAACCCCATATCCTCATCTTCACGAGTGATCGTAATCCCTCGATTCACTGTTTATTTACGTGAACCCCCCTGAACCCTCACCCTCAACAGCAGACAATGAAAAAACGATAAAATGTCGAAGGAGTTTTCATTGGTTTTTGAACCATGTTATCCCGGATTCGAGGGAAGAGATTGGCTTCGAGGAACCGTCGCCCGGGGCTTTTCACCGAGACTAGTATTTATTGGAAAAAGATGAGAGTGAAAAAATCAAGTGAAACCGTACCTTTTTTTTTCATTTTTTTAGTGTTAAAACAACCTTTATGCGAATATTTCGAAAATCACTGGTTATTTTTTGGAAGAGAATAAAAAAAATGGAGATTTTTTCGGAGCTTGGGTTGCCACGCAACAAATTAATTTCAATTTTTTTTACTAATTTTAACTCCTGGGATATTTTGAAAACAATAATTCCATAAATGAAATTTTTTGGAGAATTTTTGGCAATTTTTGAGAAATGGCTGGTGTGAGAATCGATTTTCACCGGTTCGATTTGCCTTGTGTGCTCGATCAGAATCGATATATCTTTGATGCGGTTGTAGCTGTACCACAGGCCACATCTTCTCCAGCGAAGAACCAGTTCCTGGCGCGTTAAATTGACGGTTCTCACGCATCAAACGATGTCTACCAGACTCATTGGGGTAATTACACGGCCGATCAAATCAGCAAAGTTGAGAGCCACTGAAATGCGACCCGATCGTTTCGCTTTTTTTTTTAACGCTCTTTCCCTTTTTTTTGTGAGGCAAACACAACGGGAATGGCGTGTACGCACATACACAGAGAGAATCCCGAGTGGGTAAAAAGAGAGAGAAAAGGGGAACCCCAAGGGTACCAACAGAGTGGCTAACTAATGTCGAATTAGAAGACTTCGAAGAGTGACACACGCCCTTCATCCTGAATTTTTAACTGTCAACAGGAAAATCCAAAACGTCAATACCTAACGAATTCATCAAAATTCCACTGAAATCCAAAGATCAAATTTCCCATAGGTGAAATTTAATACAATATTAATAATTCACGAATCATAAAATCAAATCACGAATATATGAGTTCAACAAAAAGTTGATCTTTCAACTCCATTTGATTCGATATTAATCTCAATGGGTTTGGAAGCAATGAAATGAATAAGTACGTGATGATAAATGGAGTGTCGAGAAAAATTCCCCAGTTTTTATTTGAAATCACCCGCATGGGTAAACCGAAAGAAAAGTTTCAGGGTCAATTGTTCATGTCTGTGTTGACTCATTGAGACGATTCACGTACTCCGTCGTGACGAATCACTCCGAGAAATTGATTATGATAAAAATGATTTATTTTTCCGTTTGTTCGCTATCTATACTATAACCGGGAATTTTACAACTCAATTGACTGAGAGTACCATGGAATACACCATTCGTTATATCTCAAATGTGCGCAGGTTTAAATTTTAAAAAATGTGAGCAGGTTTAAATTAAAAAAAATGTGCGCAGGTATATTTCATGCCGTCTGTCAATTAATACACCCATTATTACAGCCCCTCCCTTCAGACGTTGAAAAAATCCTACACTCCCTTCTGACCTGAAAACCCCCAATTCCATATCACCTGAACTCCCTTTTTTCAATCCCAAAAGTCCTCTGAAGAGGAACCGCAATTGTCCGACCTTGTAGAAATCGAAAATAAATCGGTAAAAAATCGCTGGAATTTGTATTTGCAGCCCTCAAAATTCCTGATTACCTATCTCCCATTTTTTAATTTCAAGTCTAATTATCAAGAAGAGGAACCTCAATTGTTGCAGACTCTTCAGAGATCAAAGCAAAAATCGTTAAATCGATAGAAGATTCATTTGCATTCTGAACTCGATTGTGACCTATGAAATTCCTACATCTTATCAGTGAACTGGCCGTTGAAGACGGCCAGAATGACCCAACAAAAGCCTCGACGATGTCCCTCTCGATTCCCTCCCAAGTCCTCCGAATAGGAACCGGAACTTTGTACATTCGTGCGCAGAATCGATTATCCAACTGCACACGTACTGTCGTGCATAAGAAGCAGCCCCCGGAGGGGCTAACACGCCGGTAAAACTGCCCGGGACTCACGCTAAATATATATATGCTAATAATTACAGATATGGGAATACGCCAATATTTCCTCCAGAAATATATCAATATTTATCGAAATATGTGAAAGAAAATGTATATTCCCGGATATATATCAAATTCCGTGAGAGTGCGTGTGTCAGTCACATTTGGGGTGCCCATTCCCCAGGTGCATAACTCGACTCGATTCCAAATATTTGATCGCTATAATTCTGACGGATTCCCTGATTGAATATTACTCATACCCCCAATTTCCCACTCGATTATCCATCAGGCCCTTACTCAGGCCTTTTATTACCATTTTATTAGATGTTCGTCGACTAGAGTCTTACGGATTGAAAAAATGGAAATCAACTGGACCTGGGGCCATTGATTTTGGAGGTTAAAGGACACTCCGAGTCCTGGAGGGTCGACATTTTGACGAGTAGTTTTTGTTTTTGCCTGGGAGTGATGAAAAATCGAATGGACAATCGAGAATTTCTATTTTTTAGCCGATAAGTTATTCGGGTGGTTCACCCAGAGTTTCGGGGATTCTTTCTTTTTTCTTTTTTCTTTGGCATCGAGGGGTGATGAAAGGGAACAGGAGCCGGTGCGCGCCGGCCGGCGTCTCCAACAGATGCCCGGGCGTGTGAAAACGCTATGAAAATTCCGAAACGACTCCCTGACGCTGAATTAACCGTTTTGTGGGGCTTTTTTTTGGCTCTTTGGGGCACGGAATTGAGAGTTAATTTTTGTGGTGTACTTACTCGGGCGGGGGATGATGTCCTTGGTAAAACGGCGGGAGAGCACACGACACTTTCAATGAATCCTTCCTTTTCAAGTTGCACCGAAAAACCAGTTCACTAAACTCGACGCCACTCGACGCCGGCAAGATACTGCGCACTGCGCCCCACGCAGCCTTGTGGGGATGTCGACGAAAATTTACGACAGGGCAGCGACATCTCGCGGGAAATTCTCCATTAGTTTGAACTACCGATGTTAACGCAGGGAGAATAACCGCCATAACTGAAGTATCCGTTATAATGTTCTATCCAATTTATGTCGCTATTTATTTTAATTTGATTAATTTAATTTGCGATTAAAGAAATTGCAGCAGGATAAAAGAACTGAAGAACTTGGTGCTCCCCGCAATTATACAGAGTAGAAAACATCACCTTTATTAGATAATATAATTTAACTGACACTTTTTGGTAACCATCAATAAAATATTTCTGATACTCAACGGTTCTTCAAAATCCATTCGTGTTTTGATATTTGTCCTAGAGTCAGTCTCTTAGCAGGGTCGAAAACAATCAGCTGAAAAAAAAAAATTATCGATCATTAATTCCACGATTAATTGATTTCTTGAAAGCCCGATGTTTTTAATAATAAATTGTTTTTAATAATAAAACCTTTGAAATTAAATCACGAGCATCATCACTGCAAGGTCTTTGATCGGGGAACTCGATCTCAACATTTGTGATTTTCTTGACAACGTGCTCTTTATCTCGCGCGAAAAAGGGAAACATTCCTGTAATCAAGTGGAATCCAACGACTCCAATAGCCCAGATATCGACAGCATGGTCGTATGGTTTATTGAGAAGCATCTCAGGGGCCATGTTGCCACGTACTTTACTTATCCCGAAGGACTTACAGGTGGGTGTGTGGATAGCCCATCCAAAGTCCGTCAACTTCAGAACATTGTCCTTCCCTAGGACAATGTTTTCCAGCTTGACATCTCGATGAATTATCCTCTTCTTATGGATGTACTTCATCGCCTCTGTCAACTGGCTCACATAAGAAGCAGCTACTGGTTCGCTGAACCTCTTGATAGGGATGTTGTTCATTATTGTCAGTAAATCGCGACCCGGTGCCAATTCCATCACCATGAAGATCCTCTTTTCGTCTTGGAACCAACCGTACATCCTCAGGATGTTTGGATGACTGTAAAAATATCAGTACGATAACAAATTTGAAATTTATCATTTTAAAATGCCATGAGGACGTACAAAAACGCGATAATTACTTCAAATGCGTGTGAATTTCAATTTCCTTTCGCACTTGCTGCTTCATCTCAGTCTTGGCGATTTCTGTTTTGAATAAAATTTTCATGGCAACCACGACGTCTTGATGCTTTTCCTTTGCAGAATAAACGATTCCAAACGAACCCTTGGCTATTTTTTTCCCCATTGAAAAATCAGAGAGGGCCCATTGCTTCTTCTCCTGCGAGGAATTCTCGGCGTTTCGGTTATTCTCGTCATTTTCTCCAGAATCATGATCCTTTGTATCAGGAGCTCGTTCCATTCTCTCAGTAGATGATTTCAAAACAGCCGAACTCATCCTCTTAGTCTCTTCTAACAGATCTCTACGAAAAACTTGAGATCATTAGATAAAATGGGTACGAAAGTGAAATTTGTAGGAACCGAGAGATGATTTACGCACGTTGTCTTCACATTAAAATACCACATGAATTATTACACAAAGGACACAGAGCGGAATGTCAAAGTTTACGAAATCTCCAACGATTTTTGTATTTATGTATGCATTGTGTATTATGGATTCATCTTCCCTGAAGATGTCGAGGCTCTTCAATTCCACTTCTGCCAACGAAAATCAGAAAATCATTAAGGTCATGACATAAATTATAACACTGTAATTCAGTTGTAGAACGAGGTGAATAGCATATTTTATACTTTCACCTTGAAAATAATAGAATATTTTTTAAACTTGAATAAAAAATTTGAGAACAAACAGGGGTGCGCGTGTCTACAGTGCTGCCAACAGCTGGAGCCCCACCCACTTCACACTATTTCTGTTTGGGCATTTCTGATTGTGTTGATGTCGTCGATCCCAAAATTTGTGGCGCCAATTCACAATCCTAAGTGATAAAAAGAAAACTCGGCAGGATGCCGGCGTTTCTCAAGCACATCGAGGTCGAGAACTTCAAGTCCTACAAAGGAAAACTGATAATTGGACCCCTGAAATCGTTCACCGCAGTGGTGGGTCCAAATGGTTCAGGTTAGTTATGCCTCCAAGCGTCTCATTTTCACAAACCCCACAAACCCCCTAATGTCTGAATTTTCCCCAGGTAAATCCAACTTCATGGACGCCATATCCTTCGTGATGGGTGAAAAAACGAGTAGCCTTCGAGTGAAGCGTTTCAGTGAATTGATTCATGGTGCATCAATTGGAAAACCTGTGGCTAGAAGTGCCTCAGTCACAGCTGTTTTTGAGATGGAGGATGGGACAGAGAAGTCCTTCCTGAGATCTGTCCAGGGTTCATCCTCAGAGCATCGAATAAATGGCTCGATGGTCACCTCTCAGGTGTATCTGAGTGAACTTGAACACCTGGGGATCAACGTCAAAGCCAAGAATTTCCTCGTGTTCCAGGGTGCTGTTGAGTCCATTGCTATGAAGAACCCGAAGGAACGGACAGCCCTCTTCGAGGAGATATCCAACTCTGGGGCCCTGAAATCCGAGTACGAACGTCTGAGAACGGAGATGTTACGAGCAGAGGAGGAGACGCAGTTCTCCTACCAGAAGAAAAAAGGTTTTGCTGCTGAGAGGAAGGAGGCGAAGCTGGAGAAAGAGGAGGCAGAGAAGTATCAACGCCTAAAGGAGGAGTACGTGGAGAAACAGGTGGAGCTCCAGCTGTTCAGGCTTTATCATAATGAGCGTGAGATTGAGAATTTGGAGAATAATCACAAGAAGAAGCAGCACGAGGTCGAGAAGATTGAGAAGAAGAAGGAGAAGGCTGAGGAGACACTCAAGGAGAAGAAGAAAGAGTCTGGAAAGCTCGCTCGAGAGCTAGCCAAGATTGAGCAGGATATCAGAGAGGTTGAGGTTGAGATTACCAAGAAACGACCGACGTTTATTAAAGCCAAGGAGAGAGTCGCTCACATGCTGAAGAAGGTTGAGTCAGCGAGGAAATCATTGGCTCAGGCTCGAACTGCTGATGAGGCTCATAAGAAGGACATTAACGAGCTTCAGGAGGAGCTGCGACAGGTCGAGGAGTCCAAGGCGGCTTATGAGGCCAGCATTGCTGGACAATCCCAGTCGCAGGGACGAGATGTTCAGCTGGAAGATGAACAGGTGAAAGAATATAATCGCTTGAAGGAAGAGGCAGGTCGACAATCAGCTCGTTATCTCCAAATGCTGGACTCTATCAATCGAGAGCAGAAATCTGATCAGGACAGGCTCGACAACGAGAGTCGCAAGAAAACTGACATCGAGAATAAATTGAAGCAAAAGGGACACATGAGAGACGAGGCATTAAAACGTGTGGAAAAATTGGAAGAGCACATAAGAACTTCTGAAGCTGCCCTCGAGGACCAGAAGAAGTTGCGCCAGGAGCTCCAGTCAGATGTTGGCAGTTCTAAAGACAGGATCCAGAATCTCCAGAGGGAGCTGGAGAGAATCTCTGAGCAGCTGGGTGATGCCAAGGTTGACAAACACGAGGTATCTCGAACAAAAAAGAAAACTGAGATAGTAGAGAACTTCAAGAGGCTCTTCCCAGGAGTTTACGATCGAATGTACAATATGTGCGAGCCCATCCACAAAAGGTACAACGTGGCTATCACGAAGGTCCTGGGTAAGTACATGGAGGCCATCGTCGTGGACACAGAGAAAACAGCTCGTCAATGCATCCAGTATCTGAAGGAGCAATACCTGGAGCCCGAGACTTTTCTTCCTCTGGACTACATCCAGGCTAAACCCTTGAAGGAACGTCTGAGGAATATTCAAGAGCCGAAAGGAGTGAAATTATTGTACGACGTTCTACACTTCTCTCCGAAGGACATCGAGAGAGCTGTTCTCTTTGCCACTAATAACGCTCTGGTCTGCGAAACTCCAGAAGACGCCAACAAAGTCGCCTATGAGATGGACAAAAAGGCTAGATATGACTGCGTTGCCCTGGACGGTACCTTCTACCAGAAAGCTGGAATAATCTCTGGCGGATCTCTCGATCTAGCCAAAAAGGCCAAACGTTGGGACGAGAAGCAAATGGCACAGCTCAAGTCTCAAAAGGAGAAACTTACAGAAGAACTCAGGGAGTCCCTGAAGAAGTCCAGGAAAGAGTCTGAACTCAACACTATTGAGTCCCAGATTCGAGGTCTGGAGACGAGACTGAAATACAATAAGAGCGATCTTACAGCGACGAAAAAACAAATCACTGACTTGGAGTCTGAGCTGGAGGCCCTGCAGGCTGAGCTCGACAAGTTTGTACCCACGATTGCAGCCATTGAGAAAACAATGGCTGAACGCGATCAGGAGATCCAGAACATCAAGGAGAAGATGAATAATGTGGAGGACGATGTGTTCGCTAGTTTTTGCGAGCAGATTGGTGTTACCAATATTCGACAGTACGAGGAACGAGAGCTTCGATCTCAACAGGAACGAGCTAAAAAGCGAATGGAGTTTGAGAATCAGTGCAACAGGATTTATAATCAATTAGATTTTGAGAAGCAGAGGGATACGGAGAGCAATGTCCTCAGATGGGAGAGGGCAGTGCAAGATGCCGAGGACAAGCTCGAGTCTGCTAAGCAGGCGGAGGCCAACCAGAAGGCGGAGATTGAGAATGACGAGACACAGATGGAGGAACTGAAGTCTCTGAGGACAACCAAGAAGATGGAGGTAGATCAAAAAGAGGAGGAGATTGGCAAGTGTAGGAGGGAAGTGGGGGCCATTGCCAAGGACATTCAGGTTGTTCAGAAGCAGCTCAACAGCATTGAGACAAAGATTGAGCAGAGAAAAGCTGAGAGGCACAATATTCTGATGCAGTGCAAGATTGAGGACATCGCCATTCCCATGATCAGGGGCAACATGGAGGACATCGCTGGTGATACTACCAATGAGATTAACAGTGACTCGATCTCATTAGCAAGCAATAACACTCAACAGTTTGAACGTGAGGCCAGAATCACCATTGATTACTCCTCTCTGCCTGATAATCTCAAGGACGTGGAAGAGGACGACGTCAAGAAGACAACTGATAAATTGAATAAAACAATCTCGGAAATGCAGAATAGTATTCAGAAGATCCAGGCACCCAACATGAAGGCCATTCAGAAACTCTATTTGGCGAAGGAGAAGCTTCAGGAGACCAATGAGGAATTTGAACAGTCCAGGAAGAAGGCGAAAAAGGCCAAGACCATGTTTGAGAAGGTGAAGAAGGAGAGGCATGACAAATTCATGGCGTGCTTCGAGCATGTGGCGAATGAGATTGATCCGATTTACAAGAGTCTCGCGAAAAATCAGTCTGCCCAGGCATTTCTGGGACCTGAGAATCCTGAGGAGCCGTATCTCGATGGGATTAATTATAATTGTGTGGCTCCAGGGAAACGATTTCAACCGATGTCCAATCTGTCTGGTGGGGAGAAAACTGTCGCCGCTTTGGCTCTTCTGTTTGCTATTCACAGCTTTCAACCTGCTCCCTTTTTCGTTCTGGATGAGATTGACGCTGCTCTGGATAATACTAATATTGGAAAAGTGGCGAGTTATATCAGGGATAAGACGAGCTCTCTGCAGACGATTGTTATTTCTTTGAAGGAGGAGTTCTACTGTCACGCTGATGCTCTCATTGGGATCTGTCCTGAGGTCGGCGTGTGCTTGGAGAGCAAGGTTCTCACTCTGGACTTGACTGCCTATCCTGCCAGCATTAATTGAGGATGGATATTTATTCTGGATTTTTTTTTATTTTTTATTTTATGGGGATCCTGGGACGAGACCTGCGGGAGGATCTTGATTATCGTATTTTAGAGGAATTTGGTAATGCTTGTGACAATTTGTTTCATAGATGAAAGTGATGAGAACATTTTTTTGTCAGTTTCTCTTGCAAGAATGATGTAAATAAATAGATTCGTATAAAATTTATTCACTGGTGTCATTTTTACTGTTGTATATTTTTAATGGCAGAGATTACAGGAGCAATTACTGAAAGAGGAGATTCTGGTAGAGAGGATTTATGGATAAAAATTGTAGGAATTATTGGAGAAATTATCAAGAGTAATTCGATCAACGAGCGAACTTGGTAATTATCAGTTGAGAATTGCAATTCAAATTTTATTGATGACACCTTTCTTTGTTAACGGTTATGGCGTGTGTGTCGCTGCGGAATTTGAACGGAACCGCAAGTGGCGAGACGACAGCCGCCGTTTATTGTGGAAAATTAATTAAGGTGAGAATTTGAGACTGACACGCGATCGTAAAATTGTATACCGAACGGCAACGATTCAAGATTTTAATAAAACGAGCGGTTGTTTGACATAAAATGTGAGAAAAGTGTGAAAAATAAATCTAGAGGTTAGGGCGCAAACTCAAGTCACCGGTTTTGGCGGTCAATTTTTCAGGGCTAACAAAGTGATTGTGTTTTCATTAGTGTAATATGTAATATTGTTTAGTAGTAGCTTATTTATTATTGTTTATCATCAGTGAGTGAGTGTTGACGAGTTTTGTGAAGCTCTCGGTGAATTTCCGGCGTCTCTTGGACCAGGGGATGACCTCTAGAGTAAACATCAAGGCAGTTGGACACCGGCAGTTTGTGTCAACACCGGTGAGTCGAGTTTTATTAACTTTTGTGTATAAATTGCAACTTAACAAAGTTCGTTACTTCCTGTGACGTAAACAAAATTCATCAACATTGTTCGGACACTTGTCCAGGACGTAGAGTGACGCCCTGGGTCAGGAACAATTCCATTTGTATCAAGTGTCCAGGATAGCATCCTTGATTCAACATCAAGATGTTTTTATACCACCAAAAATCCAAAATTTATCATTTTTAAAATTCCAAATTTTTGGTCACCAAATAAAAAATGAAAATTTCAGAATTTTCTTGAATTTTCGTTGGAAAAACGAATTCATTCAAAATTCAAAATCATTTTTAGTTGAATTTTCCAGATTTCTATCTATTTTCCGCGTGGAAATATTTATTATTTCATTTTGAAATTGTAAAATTATCGGGAATTCATGAATTTTCATTCTGATCTGATCAGAAAGATGACTGAATTACAGTTTTACGAAAAATCAACTGATTCCTGAAATTCCCCTATTTCCCAAAACCGCGTAAATCCAACACCAATTGTCCAAAGACATCGAATTCCTCCAAAGTCCCTCCCCGATAAATTGAAGCCAAAATCAGCATTCCATCGATCAATTTTCGCCCCAAACCATCTCGAAAATTGAATTCAATAAGCCCCTTAAATTCCAAATTTCCTGTGCCAGTCTCTCGCGTCCCCACGTGGTCAATCCTGCAACTCCCTCCAGATTCCTTCCTTACCCTGACCCCAGGTTGAAACCCATCATAAAACTCCCCCGAAAAAGCCACCCCAATTCCCCCAAATAAATCACCAGAGCCCAGAAAAAGTCGAACCCAATCAACAACTGGCATTCCAATTTCCTTTATCTAATTTCAGTTAGCAAATGTACAATCTGTCAGGAAGAGGGCATTATCAATGCTCCGTCGCCCCGTCATCAACCCCATCTCCCACTTGACTCGACCCGATCAATACAATCAGCAATGCCGAATAACTATTTCACCCCTACCCTCCCCCTCATCCCCACAACCCATTGTCCCCACGAAATCATCGCTTTATCAATAATCTCCATTTACACCCGCCTCCCACCCACCACCCACCAGGCGTCGTAATCATCGGAGAACCTAAACTATTCAAGTTCATGCAAGCATCATCACCATCTCCAACGCCTTCAGCATCAATAACTCGCCATCCCATTACTGCAATCCAATTTGAAGATACACCCCCTTTTTTTTTGGATTTACCACCACTAAAATTTCAATACCTTTTGTCATTAATAGTTTAAAAGCTAGAGGTAAAATCGATGGGAACAAGTTAAATTATTCTGATAAGAATCTGGAAAATTAGACAAGAGCTCAAAAATTTGGAATTTTAAAGGAAACTTTAAGGAGAATTTAAAATTTGAAAAAACATCTTTTCCGTCAGGAAAAATCCTTCAACTATGGAAACTCGATCCTAACTATCTTATTCCTTACAATAACTCGGTTTTCACTTGTCTCAAGTTGAAGAAAAGTTATCCCATATACATGCATATGAGTTAGAAAAGTTTATTCCATCCGCGTGAGGAAGAATATTTTCCTTTTCCATCCATTCTCGAAGTGATACGTCCCGATATGCTGGACCTCTGCAATTCTCTCTGGAAAATTCGAGATTCTCTTCGAACTTTTCATTTCCCCTGCTTTTAAACCCCTGCCTTATGGGCAGAGTGAGGAAAAAGCAGATCCTCCTTACCTCACCAGCAGAAGGCCTCACCTCAGAAGGCAGAAATCTGCCTTATCCCCAACAGCTCCAACCCCTTCCGGTGGAAAGCCACCCCAATACCGAAATGGAAACCAGAACAAGACAGAGTTTCGCATTTAGCTCCCTCATGTCCCCTAGAACGAGTGAAACAAGTAGAAAGAGAAGTCCTTCCAACGTGACGAGGTGGGGGAGAAAATAGCGGATTGCAGTGGGGAAATACATTGGAGGGAGGTTTTGCACACTCCAGCTACAGAATAACCATCTACACCGAGCAACCGACAGAGACGATGGATAGATGGATGGTGGCTGGAGAAGAGAGAAAAGGGGATATTGCAAAACCAGAGAGAGTAGACTAGGATATGAGGGTGTCGCGCAAGCCGGTCACGCCGTGGTTACCATGGCAACACCAGGCGATAAATCAACCCGCAACATCCCCGAGTACCCGTGAGATAAAACCACATACAGGCGCCTAAAGAAGAGCCATCTAGACTTAGAGTAGTAGTTGGTTGGAGGCTGTCTTCGTGTTGTATTCACTGATCTAGCAGCAAAAAAGATCAAAAGGATCATACCCAAAACCTGAGTAAACCCACGGCCTGACAAAATATAACACGATGAAAATTGAAACTTTCTCTGAATCCTTTGCTGCATCTCTTCTCTTCAGCTTGAAGGACTTCTTGACGAAGGTTTTAGATCCCTCAGAAGGCGCCTTTGACAACTCCTCCTTCTCCTGGTCTTTCGTCTCGGATATTGCTGGCGCGAAGTGGCTATCGATCTTCTCTTGATGCGGTGGATGTGGAAACTAATGGATGTTATTTACGCCCTCCCACCACCTACCTCTTCGGTATTACAACCCACCTCTACATGTCACCGGTGCTCGACGATGAGTTTATTTACGTTGACGATGCGCAGGTCCAGGGGTCTGTAATTCCACGTCATTGAATTTGAGGTTTTTTTTTTGTTGGTAGAAGTGTAGGTGGAATTTGATGCTCCTGGGGAGGACGGGAGTTGTCATTTCCTATGAGAGCATTCTGCGGGGGTGTCCCCAGGAAGCTAGGCTTTGACGTCATAGCAGGTTTCGATGGTGAATGTGTCACGTATCGCGTGACGATCCTGCTTTTATGGAGATTGGTTTTTCTTTCACAATTGGCTGATTATGATTCACTTTGATTGATGAATCTCATCAGTTTGATTAATTCGTGATCATACGACAGCCAGGGGGCTGCCCCAGGGGGTGTCGAGTGAAATCGAATTCTAGTCTTTTAAAATTCCATACTCGTCTAGTCTTTCAAGTGCAAAAAATTCTTCGATGATTGCTCAATCCATTGTTTGGATCATTCAAATCTTGTCACCGTTGTCACCTGGCAGCCTTCAACGATAATTAATTCCACCCCATATCCTTGAGGATGTAATCTTGGATATTTTGATTGAATACCTCCAATAAATGGACATCGAAGGGAAAAGGCCCCTTTCCAAGTTCTAGCCTTCACCATCTCATCCACCAAAATCCAAAATTCACATGGCATTACCCGGAAAAAATGACAAAGCAAAAAATTTCGGAGTAAATGGCATTAAGTGCCTGTCATATCGCGATGCTACCGAGTTTACCAACCGAACACGTTGAATGATAGGCCCCGAGGACACCTGTTGCTCTTTAATTTGACGTCGGAGTATATGCAATGGCATGACTATTGAATTAAAATATAAAACCACCTCTCATTCATAAAATCCGTTCCAAATTAAAAGCCTCTAGCTGCATCGAGCGCTGAGTGTTTCATTAATTCAATGTTCCCATTTCAAAGTGTGACAATTGAAACTGATGAACCCTCCAGCGAAAGCATGTAAAAATAACGGAAAACTAATGGAATGCGATTAGCACCGAGTGATTCGTGATTGACCCACTATTCACGTGGTACTACAACCACGATAACTACCTTTTGACCGTTTGAACCTTTGAGAACAGTATACTCAGTCCTATCAAAGACATTCCGAATTTTCGATCCAGCGCCCTTGTCATTCCCACCGAGGAGAATTCAATGGCGTCAAGCTGATTGTCGTTGGTTGGCATATTTCATAACAGAAAACCGCGGTATCCAACAATTTAGGTGTTGTTGGTGGGGATGGTGTTTCGGTTGGCACAAACTGGACGGATAGAATGATAATCTGAACAGCTTGGTTGTTGGTTAGGTATTGATCTGTCGGTTGGTGTTGTTGGTGTATGTGTGTGGATGTTTCTGGGGTGAAGGGGTGTGGAAATGGAAGCAGGCTGTTCAAGTGCAAGAGTGAGATGGATTGTTGGGTGGTTGGAGGGAGGTTAAACTGGTGAGGGTGAATAGTGGGACAGAGACAAGGGAGTGGAGATGGTTGAGCAGTGGAGATTGTCGAGGTTTGGATAGAGGAGGAGGGAGAGAATTCGTGGTGGGGATTTGCCCACCCTCAGCCCTTTATTATTTTCTTTTTTCCTCGATTTTGAGGGAGTCAAGATAGGGGAGGGATGTGGCTGAGGGTGAGATTGCTCTCGCGACTTCCTGCGTTCCTGAAAATGCCTCCAGGATTCAGTGGGGGGAAGGCATGAATTATTCC